GCTGGGAAAGGGAGCTGGGACTGGCGCGTGCTGGGAAAGGGAGCTGGGACAGAGGCGTGCTGGGAAAGGGAGCTGGGACAGAGGCGTGCTGGGAAAGGGAGCTGGGCCAGGCGCGTGCTGGGAAAGGGAGCTGGGCCAGGCGCATCCTGGGAAAGGGAGCTGGGCCAGGCGCGTGCTGGGAAAGGGAGCAGGGACAGGCGCGTGCTGGGAAAGGGAGCAGGGACTGGCGCGTGCTGGGAAAGGGAGCTGGGACAGGCGCGTGCTGGGAAAGGGAGCTGGGACTGGCGCGTGCTGGGAAAGGGAGCAGGGACAGGCGCGTGCTGGGAAAGGGAGCTGGGACTGGCGCGTGCTGGGAAAGGGAGAAGGGACAGGCGCGTGCTGGGAAAGGGAGAAGGGATTGGCGCGTGCTGGGAAAGGGAGCAGGGACAGGCGCGTGCTGGGAAAGGGAGCTGGGCCAGGCGCATCCTGGGAAAGGGAGCTGGGACTGGCGCGTGCTGGGAAAGGGAGCTGGGCCAGGCGCGTGCTGGGAAAGGGAGCTGGGACTGGCGCGTGCTGGGAAAGGGAGCTGGGACAGGGGCGTGCTGGGAAAGGGAGCTGGGCCAGGCGCGTGCTGGGAAAGGGAGCTGGGACTGGCGCGTGCTGGGAAAGGGAGCTGGGACTGGCCAGTGGGACGGACTGGGTAGGTGAAAAACAGGAGTTTCACAGGGGAAACCGTGATCGAGGAGCGGCAGGCAGCCGGATTAAGGAAAAGCTAATCTTATTTTAGGGAAAACATGCATGAGGGAGGAGCAGGATGCTACCGGATCCGGAAAGGTCGGGCTCCAGGGGTGGGATTGGGGAGCGGAGGTGTGGAAAGTTAGGGAGCTGGAATTGGGTCGGGGAGGGTGCGTGCGGGGTGCCGAGCCAGCCGTGACCCGTTCTGACCCGGCAGGGCTCGGCACGGACCTCAGCACCACGACGCAGTCCGGCGACCTGCCGCCCAAGGAGAAGGAGCGGGAGCGCGAGCGCGAGCGGGAGCGCGGCCGGCCCAAGGACCGCCGGCACCACCACCACCACCACCACCACCACGGCTCGCTGGAGGAGGAGCGCTGCGGCCCTGAGCGGCCCGAGCACGGCCACAGGACACGGGACCGGCGCTGGTCGCGCTCGCCCAGCGAGGGCCGGGACTGCCGGCCACACAGACAGGTGGGCCCCTCCCTCCAGGCACACCGGGCATGGGGACGTGGGGACACTGGGACACTGGCCCACGGTCACGGGGACACTGGCACACTGGTCACAAGGACATGGGGACACTAGCACTGGCACACCGGTCACAGGGACACTGGCACACTGGCTCACTAGTTCTGGTACACTGGCCCACGGTACTCTGGCACACCAGCACACTGGCACACTGGTATACCAGGGTCAGGACATTATTACACGTGCACATGGGACATTGGCACACTGGTACACTGGCACACAAGGCACAGCAGTACACTGGCACTGGCATACTCACACACTGGTACCCTTTATGGGGGCTTCAGGTGGATCAAACAGTGCCAGGGGGTGTTTGGAGATCTGACTTAGGGTATTAGTGGATTTCATTGAGCAGCAGGCAGCACCACTGATTTTGGGTAGATGCAATGCTGTCAGTGAGAGCTGTGTCCCTCCTGCAGGGGGCGCTCACTCTGCTGTG